AAAAAAGAAAAGAAAAGGTTGTTCGTGGGGCCCCTCGCTTTGCTCGCGGGTTTGTGCAGCCCTGTCTGCCCTGTCTCCTCGCGCCCCTGCATCCTTGACCCAAAAGCCCACAGGACTGGACGTTCCAGCAAGAAGCTACGCTAGAACTGCACTTAGGAAAAACTAGCGGAAAGGGGAGGCGTCCTCGGAAGAAATGCATGCAGGAGCCACGAGGCTAGGGGGAAGCCTGGGGGCTCGGTAGCTAGGACTTCCTGGGACCTGTCTTGGAAATTTTGTTTTAGTTTTAAAGGTTCCTTTTATTTACTTTTATTTGACTGATTATAAAAGTAATATATATTCTTCATTTTAAAACCGAGAGGTGGGAGTGGTAATGCAGGACTGAAATCATGGCACTCTGGGAGATTGAGGCAGGAAGATTTCACACTGAAGTTCAGCCAGGGCAACTGAATCACTTAGTGAGATGCGGTTTCAAATTAAAAAAAAAAAAAAAAGATTGGAGATGTAGATTAATGTGGACCCCCAGGGTTCAATCCACAGTACCCTAATTAATTAATTAATTAATTAAGATATGGAAGATACCTCCAAAAGAAAGAACCAAAATCACAGAGGACCGCACTCCCAGCTCAGCGCAGCTCCAGGAAGGCCTGAATACCTGCCCTCAGTGCCCCGCAGAGGCCTAGTCCCGCCCACTGCGTGAGCCCTGCAGCGCCCCGAAATCTGTGCTCAGCTGTCACGTGAATCAGAACCAAGGGCGCTGTTTCATCCAGGTGAGTTCAGAGGACTCTGGGCCGCCCCGACGAGCAGCTCTTTCCCGTTGTCAGCTGGCACACACTGGGTTTGGGACCCAGCAGCATTTCCTGGAATTCAGTTACCTTCCTTTCTCTGCAGAGGAAATGGAAAGCTTAGCAACCCGGGCTTCCCAGAGTGAGAACGCAGGGGCCTAAGCGGCTTGCTGCTGGCTCCCTCTAGCATGATTACCAGTGCCTCCTGTGGTACCTCTGCCTTGTTGGACTTCCGGCCAGGTATTTAACTCAGGCCAAGTCTGACCTTTTCTTGTGTGGCTTGGTTTCCTTGAGGTCATAGGGCTTTCCCTCTGATGTGTCCCCGGGAGGCAGCGCGACGCATGTGTAAGGCAGCACATCCCTGACGGCACACTACGTGGCAGGGCCATGGTGAGAAAGCACTTTGTCCAGAGCTGGGGAGACGGGAAAGGGCAGGGTTCCCTTGGGATGCAGCTCAGCACGGTCTAGTGGGATCCCAAGTGCGCATGACCCTTGATCCTCCAACGCCACTTCTGGGAATTTATCCCATAGACAGAACTGCACACAGAGGAAGTGAGCAGGAGTTGGCTGTTTATTTCAACATTACTATGGCAAAACATACAGGGCTGAAGATGTAGCCCAGTGGCACAACGCTTGTTTAGCACACAGGAGGACCTGGGTTTGTCCCCAGCTATGGAAGTTGGTGTAGAAACAACCAAAATGTTCATCAGTAGGAGACAAGCGAAATAAATTATACAGTGGCACACTGGAATGCTGTGAGATGTTAAAACTTTGAGAATGCTCTTGGTGTACCAGTATGTCAGATATTTAACATTACATGCAAAGCATATATAACTCACCTTGTATAGAAGGCAACACATGTGGCCTATGTTATACACTCATGATATATCTTCATAGAAAATATATAATATGAGCAAGTTAGAAGTTAAAAATGAGAAGAGTTAAGTAAGCAACTGAGATGAATAAATACTTTTCAGAAAAAGGAGTAAAAATGGCCGATAAATAGGAGAAGAAATGTTCCACATTGCTGGCTCCTTCAGAAATGCAAATTAAACAACCCTGAGATTCCATCTTATCCCAGAAGGAATGGCTACCATGAAAACATCAAATAAGAACATAAGTTGCTATTTGTTTCTCAATAAAATTAATTTAAAAACAAACACATAACATTAAAAATAAAGATATCTTCTGTAATAAATATGTATGATAAATATGTACTAATAAAAATGAAGTTTAAAAGAAATATAAATATTAAATAAACATGAAAAATTTCAAAAAAAAGCACATACGATGGTGAGGCTGGGGGGAAGAGGAATCCTTCTAACTGTTGGTGGGAATGCAAAGCAATAAAATCACTATGGAAATAAGTATTCAGTTTCCTAAAAAACTATTAATTTTCTTTGACCCAGCTACTCCTAGGTATCTTCCTGAAAGAATTAACAACATCATACAATAGTGATACCTGCATATTCATTTTTACCGCAGCACAATTAATAATAATCAAATCTCAGAAGCATCCTATATGTCCATTAGCAGATAGACAGATAAATAAAATAT